GTGGGTAGATTTAATCATGTGATTACATTATCTCCGTTCCCGTTCTGTATACGGACTTTTGGTTGAAGTTGGTGTATGGTAGATTCAGAATTGGGTATGTCGACTGCCATCGACTCTGCCATCAACTTTAGGTAGTAGAGAAATTCTTTTTTACTTATCATCCTCACTTCCAATGAATCAGAAAAAGACCTTCAAAATGAGGAATACAATGATCAATTCTTCATGACTGATCTTCCTAATATCCCTTCAACTACTTCCTCCTCAAATTCAGAGCTTGAATCAACTATCAAGCAGATTTGAGAACAATAGAACAATAGAACATCCAAGAAACATTCAAAGATAATTGCATCATCTCAGACCTGTCAAATCTCACAATTTTATACTTCAAATTCCACCCCTTCACTTTCATAATCCTCTCTCAAAACATTGGCTTCTGTCTTCTTTGCTTCTTCCCTATCCCCAACCAAAACATGCATCCAATAACCCTTTGATTTCACCACATACTTCTCTCCACTCTTCAATACAACTTCAGGAGCTTTTATCTCAATCTCCCTTGTTTCTTCAGCTCCCGCAGCGATAGTAATTATATCATCATCCGAAAATACACCTTCTCGTGGCATCTTTCGATTAAGTTTTAAACCCAAACATGGAGCCAAATCTCCCGTGTCCAAAGATTTAAATTCAAAAATTCCCATAGGAACCGCTCGTAGGTCAAAAGGAGTAGACCATCTGAGAAAGGATACCGCTTTATCTGATGGGTTACTTAGTGTAACTTTCAACTTGATGATGGGTGAATTTTGTGGCTCGCTGTCGATGGTAGTAATATCCGAAATTGATATTTGAATGGGAACATCGTGTTGATTTGTCGAGGGTGATTCCATTTTGATGAATAAGCCGCAAAGTATAAGAGCGACAAGTATAATGATAAGCTTTGGATTGATTGGGAATCTACGATGAGATGGAGAAATCGGATATTGTTCACGACGATGTAACATTTCGCAAAATTTCTTTTTCCGCAAGTATGAGAAACGAGATCCTCAAACAAATGAAGAATTGTCTCTTTGTTTGGCAAAAGCAAAGATAGACTATCTCAATATAGAAGGTCGGATATTAAAGTGTGGGGTTGTTCCCGCATCCGCCACAACTTTATCCGAACGGCAGTTTTCTTATCAAGATCAAGAGTGATCAATGTAGATGTTGTGCATTTCGGAATGATTTATTGATTATTGTCCATTTGAAGTGGATTTTTCTTCTTGTTTAGTGACAAGTGAGGGACCATAATTTATAAGAACGCGGACGGATGAGGAAACTCGAGATCCGGATAAATGACTAAATTTCTTCATCACGAGGATACATTATCAATACGTTGAAATCTCAACTCCGAGTACCTCAAATACTCGAAAACTTGACTCTCCATTGGTTTACCCATCTTTGTTCTCTCCTATCCTTGAATACTCTCGGGCGTTGGAAATTCATTAATACATCGTCGCTCAATAATCAACACTTCGATTGAGGATCATGTCTCTTTTTAGAAGGTGAAATTAAGCCAGCAAATATATAAAGACACCCGCCAAGCCCATTTCTTCATTGAAGCCAAGATACACATTGTCTTGGTCTCCTTGGTCTCCTTGGTCTTTTCAATTATTTGGTAGTGAATGGTAAATCTATTGCCAAAAGTAGGTATTCAAAAGTTCAACTCCCGATGCCTAATACCTCAACTTCACTTGGCACTCGAGTGTTACTTCAACGTTCTCTAATGAAACTGCATAATCTTACAAGATAATGATAGAAAACTTGTTGATCGATTTCAAACTGCTTGGCTGCAGTACTCCAAGCGCCCGCATATCACCAAAAGCTTCTAACATAGGATATCTTGGCCTCATATCTATCAATCACTTTCTATAGCTTCCTATCTCGGTTAAAAAGTTCATCCATTTTGACAACAACGACCATTTGATTCACGATACTTGAACTAACTAATCATAACTTTGAAAAATACTTCCAATCATTCAATGTAATGACATTGTATTCGGAGTTAATCACATGGATTATGAGTGGAATTACATTCTTCATTCTCACAGGGGAGATTAAACAAGTCAGTGTAGTTCACCGATGAGGCAGGCAGATTCGAATTTCGGCCGAGAAATTATGTGAAATGACGATCTATTGAAGACAATGAATGAAGTATTCTTATCAGTTACTCCTACCTTCCATTTATGACTACAAAAATCTATGTACCGTATTTTGCGACGTGAGAAGTCTTCCGAATTCAAAAGTTTGAAAGAGAACGACAGTTACCTAGGTAGTCTTGGAAGTATCTATATATGAAGAGTCAATTCCCTTCAATTTTAAGTATCTCATCATCTTCAGCAACTCAAGTCTCTGAATAGATAGCATCATTTACCATCTTCTCATCTCTTCTCATCCATATATTCAATTCAATATGCGAACTTTCTCCAAGATTTTGGCAATTGCCAGTTTGGCTGCCGTTGCCAACTCTGCGGCTGTAAAGAGGCAAGTTATTTTGATTTTTATTTTCCAATTCCATTCTCTGGATTTCTATTCTCTGGATTCCCATTCAGCCATGAGTGGTCATAATTCGAATTCATGTGCAATTTGATCTCTTTGGAGCATTTCGTTTGGGGCGATTCACCTCACTTGTGATGAAAATTCAAAACTTCAAAATGCTACATCTCAGACATTTAAATTCCTCAAAAATTCCTAGTCTTCAATTTACCATGGAAATCTCAAACTAATAATTTTCTAGGGATAACAATGTCCTTAAAGTCACTTTGGTTGCTGGTGAAAATGCTTTAGTTCATGCTTCTGTCAAGAATGTTGGAACTGAAGACTTGAACCTTTTGAGTTATGGAACTCTCTTCGATACTGCTCCAGTTCAAAAGGTCAATGTTTTTGAAGGCGGTGAGTTTCAATTACTCTTTACTATCCAAAATTATTCAAAATTATTCAAAATTCAATTCGGATAATTCTCAATATTCCATGTCTCATATCCTAAAAATCAATAACTAATATAAAATAGAAACTGCCGTTCCATTCAAAGGAGTTCTTCGTTCAATTCAACGTACAGACTTGGCTCCAGAGGTTTTCCACACTCTTGCAGCAGGTGAAACCTTTGAGACTACATTCAACGCAGCTGAAGTTCACGATCTTTCTACCTCAACCTACACTTTTGTAGCTGAAGGTGCCATTCCATTTGCCAAAGCTGGATCCACCGAAATTAGTGATTCCATCATCTTCAAATCCAATGCCATCTCTGTTTCCGTCGATGGTGAAGCCGCTAAATCCGTCGCAAAGGCTATCCCATCCTCTATTGATCGTAGAACTGTTCTTCAATCCGGTTGTTCCACTTCTCAAAGATCTCAAACCACTCAAGCACTTTCCTACTGTGCTTCTCTCGCCAAAGCAGCTTCTACTGCCGCTTCTTCAGGTTCCTCTACCAAGTTCAGTGAATACTTCAAAACAACCTCAGCCAGTACTCGTTCCGTCGTAGCAGCTCGTCTTAACGCTGTTGCTTCCCAATGTAGTTCCATCACCTCTGGTGCTACAAAATATTACTGCACTGATGTATACGGATACTGTGAATCCAACGTTCTCGCCTACACCATCCCATCCACCAACGAAATTGTCAACTGTCCTATCTATTACTCTGCTCTTCCAGCACTTTCAGGCACTTGCCACGCACAAGATAGAGCTACAACCACTTTACATGAGATGACTCACGCACCTGCTACTTACAGTCCAGGAACTGCTGATAATGGTTATGGATATGCAGCTGCTACTGCTTTGACCAGTGCAAGAGCTGTTTTGAACGCTGATAGTTACGCTCTTTATGCTAATGGTATGTTTTTATTTTATATTTTTGTGAAAATATTCTTTTGAGTTGTTCCTAATTATTAAAATAGCTATCTATGTCGGATGTTAAATCAGAAATGATATTAATATCTTTAATGGCTTTGATATTCAAAAGACCGTCTAAATATCAAGCTGTTATTTTTTATGATGGATGTGATGATGATTCCGACAAATTTTCTTGTTGGTAATTGGAATGGAGATATGAGCGTATACATATATTCTAGCCTTAGTTAAATTATATACCTCATTCGTTAACAAATACTTTGATTTATTCTTTAAAAATCCTTGCTTTTTCAATCACTATATATTATTTACAAATCATAATGTGTAGATACGATTGAGATACGATTGAAACTCTACAACCTGTCAGCTCAGGTATGACAATTTATCAAGTCAAGGTACGATTTAATCGGGTACTCCGACCCCACTCGGCACTATGTATACTTTCGTCAATCAAGGAGACAAGCGAGGAGAGATAAAGTACTTGTATCAAAATAAGTCTGGGGGACTTGTATTGTAAGCTATATTTCAATTTCAATTTCAAATGAAATTGAGTATGATATCTTGAATTTCTCGTTCGATAAAAATCCATTGCCGTTACCCTCAACGTTTCATCACATCTTTGAAGTCTTAAGTGTGAGTATGTATGATCACGTGTTCATCAGATCATGATAGAAGTAGCACATGACTACTCAATAACCACCTTCGTTACCACTGAGTATTGCTCTGAGAGTACCATATCTTTTGGTGCGAGCTGAATCCATCAATAGTAATTGGAATCCATAGCCTCAATTATCACTTCGAACTATTTATCCCATCTCAACTACTCAACCTTACAACCAGTTAACCTCCTCATTTCTCCATCCCACAACATCAATCCTGTTGTATTGCCTTCATTCGTAGGTTTCTTATGCAGTGAACTCAATTGTGGATCATTCACTTAGAATATATATATTTCATGGCTATCTACATATGCATAGCGAGGCTTAGTGTAATTGAACACGGTATTTTATATACAAATATATCGAATCACTTCATAGTGGAACATTAAATCATGACTTACCCCGCATCAGGGTCTATTGAATTTTCACTCATTCAAACATGCGATTATTCTTCTCTCAATTAATTTTCTCTCAAGTTTTCTCGTCATATATAAATGTATATATATCAGACTGTATAATCTTCAGAACATTTCTTAATTCCAAGATTACCTCCGCAAAGACTAAAGTGCAACCAACTATCAACAATCTCAAAGTTCAAAATGACATGCGCTATGGATAAATGCTATAAGTACCGGGTTCGGGCCCGGGGAAGTCTCTACTGTGAAGCACGTAAGTCTATCAAAAATCCTCAAATGGTATTTGCCCTTTGTGCAGATATGAATTCTATGAGTTTTAATTATTAACATTTGGAATAGATGAATGTAAAGTACCCAAGTGCCATACTATCATTTTAATGGGAGTAAATACTGTATTGGACGTAAGTGTGTCATTTTGGGTCTTTACCCTGATATATTCTTTTGATATCCACATGTTTGCCCATGGAATAGATAAATGCAAACATCAACATTGTAACCATGGAAAGAACATCAATTCTCACTATTGCCGTGCACGTAAGTGATGATTCCTGTTTTTATGTTGGAATGCAATGATAGAATACTGATATATTCCCTCCAGATTCCACATGCATTACACACGGCTGCAATTACTTGAGAGTTGGCAGCGCGGCAGCTTGTATCGCACACAAATGTCATGATCCTTCATGTCTGAATGCACGATTCGATCTCTCGAAATTTTGTGTTGGCCATAAATGCCATTCCAATGGATGCTTGAGGAAAAGGTGTTCAGCAAATCACGTATACTGCGACCTTCATAAATGCGCCCGTGACTCACATTGTCCAAAGTTGAAGGAATTAAATGGTGGGAGAATATATTGTCTAAATCACAATTGCTCTATATCCGGGTGTTTGTCACATATAATTGAAGGAACAAATCTTTGTGAAGATCATGGTCGTATGAATTAGGTATGAGAATTTACTATTATTGATAAATTAATGACAAAATCTCTAGGTAATCTCAATTATATAGCCATCCATCACCATGAAATGAATACATTATTCTCTCTACATATTCACTCCCAAATCCTCAAGTAATTTAAAATCTACCCCGCGCCAAAGCCATAATAATTTCTTTCTTCATTTTAATCAAGACTTGATCATTCTAATATTTTCTTACATCACCCATGGACATCACCTCACCTCACTTACCCATCAATTCCATCCTTTAAAAGGATCAAGAATCAAGACTTCCCCGACTACCCTTCTCTCCCTCCAAAAAATCAACAACCACCTCAACCACCTCAATTCAACATGCCTTGTCACTGGCAACCTCGCGGAGAAAGACGATGTAATGGACCCAAAGAACCTGGAACCATTTTCTGCGATGAACGTAAGTATATTTCCTATCTATGAATCTATTTATTCATCTATCTTTCTCCAATACCAATCTTTCTTCAATACCAATCCATAATAACCATCTCAATAGATTTATGTCACAACGAAAAATGTCCCGAGCCAATCCTCAGTTACGATACATGGTGGTGTGAAAAACGTATGTAAAGTATTTCCTAACCCCTTCCTTTCCTTCAATACCTGTTCTTCAATTCCTGTTCTTCAATTCCCCATCCTCAATTCCTCATCCCCATCCCATCCCATCCTCAATCCCCCAAACAAAACAAAAAAAAACTAACCCCTCCCCCACCAGACTCCCCCTGCCCCATCAAATCCTGCACCACCCCCCGCTACCACTCCACCGGCACCTGCCGCACGCACGCCTGCCAATTCCCCAAATGTCCCTTTCCGCAATACCTCCCCTCTTCCTACTGCAGCGGGCACAAATGCCACGTGGACAATTGTCTGCGCATGCGCACGCCCACGAATCGTTTTTGCGATCGCCACGAGTGTACCAAGGCAAACTGTTGGAAGTTGAAGGAGATGGTGGGGGGGACCGTGTATTGTGCCGCGCATACGTGTCGGACGCCGGGGTGTTTGGAGGGGAAGGAGGGGGAGGAGGTGGAGGTTTGTGAGGGGCATGGGAGGGGGATGGAGAGGGGTGGGGGGAAGTGGTAGATTGGTGGGAGGGGGAGGGGAGGGGGATGATTGGTGGGGGGAGGGGGTTGCAGGAGAGTAGGGGATTTTTTGATGATGATGATGATAATGATGATGTGAATTGGGGATTGGATTGGATAGAATTGGGATTTATTACCTTTATAAAGGCGATATACATATTTGAGAGTAATGAGAGAGAGAGAGAGGAACCAGCACTCAGAACTCAGAAACCAGAACCAGAAAACAAAAACTCGAGGCAGGCACTCATAGCAAAGAAACTTTTCAATTGTCAATTAAAAATATCCACAGAATTCTAGAATTCCACTCCACATAAAAAAGAGAATACATCCAAGGAACTACTAGAAATGAATGCATTTAATGACATGATATGACATCCATGTCATGGAAGATATCACAGTACACCCAACAGTAGAACACGAAATAAAAGAAAAATCCACACAATAATTTAGTATCAAAAATCCAGTCGAGATCTATTCTTCGTCCTTTCATTCCCTCATATAAGCATCTACCTATAATAATCCTCCAGATCGAATAGCTTGCGCTTCTAACTTCATGTGAATCATGTGAATCATTTGAGATCTAATGACTCGCATCTTCCTTACCACAATCCCAATCAATTCAAACCTAATTCAATCCTACTAAAATGAAATGCCTTGTCGAAAAAATCCCATTTTCTTTCGCCCATTCATCATTTCTTCCTTCCATCCCAGTGCACCATCTAATCATACCAAAAATTCATTTCCTCGATTCACAACCACCACGATTGTATCTTTCGTTCGTCATTCCCAATCACAACCACTCACAATCCCACAATCCCACAACCCATCACCCCATCACCCATCACCCATCACCCATCACCCATCACCCATCACCTAAAGATGAGAACTCTCTTGTTGTGTCTTCCTAACAACTTTATCAACTGCCTTTGCAAAATAATCAATATTATTAGTATTCAAACCAGCCATACTAATTCTACCATTCTTTGTCATATAAACATGAGCTTCACTTCTCAATTCCATGACTTGTTTCTCAGATAATCCTGTAAATGAAAACATGCCAATTTGTTCCGTGATATGATTCCATTTTCCTGGTGTACCCATTTCTTCCAATTTTGATCGAAGTTCTTTACGCATGGTAATAATTCTTCCAGACATTTCTCTCAAATTTGCTTCCCATTCTTTGAATAATGCTTCATCATTCAAAATAGTACTGGCAATTCTCGCACCATAAGCTGGAGGATTGGAAATTTCGGATCGTTGTAGGATAGTCAATTGACTCGAGATTCGACCAATATTCTTCTCGGCATCTTTTCCTGCTCCAGTCACGAAATGAAAACATCCAGTACGTTCACTGTATAAACCAAGATTCTTGGCAAACGATTGAGCGATACAAAGTTCAAAACCTTGTTCAATAAAATAACGAACGGCCCAAGCATCTTTTGCCAAGTCTCCCGAAGCAAAACCTTGGTATGCGCAATCGAAGAATGGGAAATGTTGTTTTTGTTTCAAAAGAGCGGCGAGTTCTTTCCATTGATCTTGAGTTGGATCCACACCCGTAGGATTATGTGCACAAGCGTGTAAGAGAATAATACTCTTATCCGGAGCATTTTGAATGGTATTCTTCATTCCATCGAAATCGAGACCTTTGGTGGATTTGGAAAAGTATGGATATGTAGCGACGGGTAGATGAACATTGGAGAAGATTTGATTATGATTTGCCCATGTTGGATTACTGAAATAAACCGTAGGAGAACCTGGGTAAAATTTCTTGATGAAAAGTGCCCCGAGATGAACAGCACCGGTTCCGGATATAGTTTGAACGGAACAAGAACGTTTTTCTGCCAGAGCTGGCGAATCTGCCCCAAGCATGAGTTTCGCGGCGGCGGATGTAAAAGTGTTGAGACCAGCGATAGGAAGGTATTCGTGATTGAGAGCGGGGTCATTACGAAGGATTTCATCAGCCTAGACGTAGAGATTAGTAGATGTTAAATAATCATGAAAGTAATTAAATACCTTTTTCACCACAGGTAAAACCCAAGGTTTAGCATTATTATCTCTATAAGCTCCAATACCCAAATCAACCTTTTTATCAAAAGTATCAGCACGATAAGCAGCCATTAATCCAAAGAGGGGATCTTCTGGAGCTTGAGGAACTGCATCCTCTGGAAAACTTGTATTGGATAGGGACATGATTTGATATTGAAGTGTTTCTTTAGGAAGGAGATTGGAGAAGAAGATTGAAGAAGAAGATAATTTAAAGTCTTTCTTTAGGAGAGGAAATTGAAGAAGAAGATAATGTAGAAGATTGATAGAAGAAGACGAGTTGATAATCAAGGGAGGGGAAGAAGATTTAAATGTTATGATATACCGACCGGTAATCTTGGCGTAATGATTGTTGCCTCTAAAACCGCGCAAACATGCGGGACCCGTGTCTCGCTTGGCGGAATCTGGGGTGATATATGATACCGGTGGACTGACTATTGAGCTATTGATACTACCTTTGTATACTTGAGTTATATTTGTATCAAATTGTAGCTATGGTAATGATAAGCAAAGATTAATAAAACGTAGACTATATTTTGTATGTTGAAGAAGAAGTTAAGAATAATTATTATATTCCAATTAAGACCTAATCTTTCCCTTATACTCGAGTATAGCTGGAGAGATCAATGTTTGATGAACCGAGGTATGGTCTTCCTTCTCTCTCTCTCTCTCTCTCTCTCTCTCTCTCTCTCTCTCTCTCTACCTACTCCATACATTGATCCGAGGGTTTCCAAGACCCAAGGCCCGTTTACGTAGATACATCCATGAATACCTAGTACCCGTGGACTTACAACATACTACCTACTACTACTAATCCAAAGAAAATCAAAACACACTTCTAAATACCTCAACTTCTCTTCAAAACTTCGGCATTGACGTTCAACTAAATCAAATACATATATTGACCCATAAATAAAATCCCCGTGATGGATAGATTTCCTTCATTTGAATTCGGGTACCTGGCCAAGCATGTCACGATAAATGTTCAGGTAGTTTTCCATGTGAATGAAATAGATATGATTGGTACGGTTCTACGGATTACGACTGTATGAAAAGTTTCAGATATTAAATATACTTGGTATCCCACTTCTATTCATTTTTATTTCCACTTCATTGCTTCATTAGTACACTGTGATGCTACACTTCATTGCTTCAATACTACACTGCTATGCTACATCGCTATGCTACATCGCTTCATTGTTTCATCATCCTATTGCTTCATTATTCCATTACTCCATTGCCTCTTACTCATTGCCTCTTACTCCATTACTCAATACTTCATTACTATATCACTAAATCCCATAATATCAAAAAAGCACTAAGACCACATGATGCATAAAATACATACTTGGCTGTACTCTTTCGTTCCGTGGCTCTTTTCAACTCTTTATTACCTCCCCCAACATTTTCCGTAGTTTGATAAGATTGTTCGGCTAGAATTTCAATTTGTTCCGCTTGTGATGCTACACTGTTTAAGAGTTGAGTTTGAAGTTCCGAAATTTCAATCAAGGACTTTTCTGCTGTTCTAGGAAATGGTTAGTATAAGGGTGAGAAGAAGGACAGGAAGGGCAGGAAGGACAGGAAGGACAGGAAGGGCAAGAAGGTCAAGAAGGGCAAGAAGGGCAAGAAGGGCAAGAATAACGTCAAGAATCATCCAAAATCATCCAAACCACAATACTTACTTGACTTGATCCAATGTACTTTGATAATGTTTTACCATATCATGATTTTCTTCCGCCAACATTTGTAATTGTTCCAAACTCAATTGAGGATCCGATGATTGTGATGCTAGTGTTGGTGATTGTGCCTCAAGATGAATATCTCCACTTGATATAAATTTTGATGATGAATCTCCCAAATTCCCAAGATCTGGCATCATAACTCGAGATTTGGCAAGATTACTCTTATTCTTTTCCACCTCTCTCATAATTCTAATCTCCATCATTGAAGCTTGAAGTTTTCCACATTCCGAAAGTTTTTGTCGTAAATACCATATAACATTCTCTCGATGCATCTTGATGGCATTTAATTTTGCTTCTTCCAATTGTTGTTCCAAAGATTTTGATTGTTCTCCTCCTCCGGCTGCCCAATTTCCAAATCTTCCAAGAGCTCTGGCATATTTACTTTGAATTATGAGGGTTTCGGTAGTATATCGTATTCCTTCAGCCTCATCCATACTCTTGATATTGAAATTTAATTCTCGTAATAACTTTTTAGTTTCGGCATCGATTTCTTCTCTTTGTCGATCGGTAAGATGTCTTCGTGGTTTCGTCTTGGAAGATAGATTTGTTCGTCTTGCTGGAGGTGCTGTTGTTGAAAGGTAAGATTGTCGAATGTCTTTGAGATAGCTATTCAATGAAGCTATATGGGAATTCTAATGAGGGGAATAAGTAAATTAAATGTGCGGAAGAAATTTGGTATAACATACTATTCGATAAGCTTCCTTTAAGAATTCATCAATATTTTGAAGAGTCAAAGAAGGATCAACTGTAGGAGGGGCATTAAGTCCCATTAACAATTTATTGAATTCGGGAGTGATGTCTGTCATGATTGAGGATTAGGTAATATATGAAAGAGTTAAAGGCATCAATATATTGAATGATGTTTGAAGTTGTTGTATAATTAGAGCTTGAATTGAAAGCTTTGAATACCTGGGTAGCTGGTGGCTTCATGTCAATAAAATTGGTCTGGCCAGATGCGATGACAAGGCTGAAATAAGAGTAAGATTGATTATGTAATAATTTAAGCTTTGCCCCGCGAATGAGAATAGCCGACGATTTTCAGCCTGATTGATAACACAGTCTACATGGTACTATGTAACAAATGTACTATGTAACTTCATTCATTACCTAGTAATCTCCTTTATTTCTTCCATCTTCTCTCTCCTTTCATCTCCCTCCTTTCTATCTCATCAAGCGATATTCAACAATTTACTCGAGTATGAATCTACCATTTATCACTTACCATCTATCATTCACCATCCACCATTCACCATTTCACTGCATCACCGCATCATCTCATCCCTCCTCTCCTCTCCTTCCCAATTCGCATTAAGCTTTTGCGATTACCGCACTTGGTAGGATTCGAGCGATCAATGCATCACCTCAAAACTGGATTGCGATATCGGTCCAAGTCTTGCGAGTGTCGCTTGACGAATGAAAATCTATTCAAGGATGGATCGGATCCAAAGTGCCGTCAAGTACCACCAAAATGATTAGGATTTGATATTGATTTCCATCTTTCATGGCGATAAAATGGGAATAACTAAAATGTTTTATCGGCTTTAATTACCTAGTATGTCTCTTCAATCTTCTCTTCAATGGTAAGTGATTTTCATCATCTTTTAAGTATATCTACTATTCTTATTTCTCTACTCCAATATCAATTTCACATTTTTCAATTTCTTCATCATGATTGAAGATAATCGACTGGAAAGTGTGGAAATTGTGGAAAAATCAGAAGAGATGGTAGCGAGTTTACAAAGTACTATTCCTGGAGAAGAGAATCTACAAAGTACTATCATTCCTGGAGAAACGAACCAACAAAGTACTATCATTCCTGGAGAAACGAACCAACAAAGTACTATCATTCCTGGAGGAACGAACCAAATACCAAAAGCTATCGTTCCCCAAACGAACCAACAAAGTGCTATCATTCCAGGAGAAACGAACCATTCCACATCCTCCCAATCCCCATCCTTATCCTCATCCGCTTCATCAATTGCAGAAGATCATGATGGAACACACGACCTCGAATTAGCTCCTGTGGTATCTGGTCCACCATATTCGGCTTTTGGTGTATGGAAAAAAAGATATATTGTTGGAATGTGTACATTGGCAGCTTTCATCTCACCTACATCGGCAAATATTTACTTTCCAGCTCTCAATCCACTCGCCGCTGATCTCGGTGTATCAAATACCCTCATCAATTTAACCCTTACATCTTTCATGATCTTTCAAGGTCTTGCTCCTACAGTTTTTGGAGATTTGGCAGATATGGCTGGAAGAAGACCTACATATATTATTGCATTCATTATTTATTTGGGTGCAAATATTGGTTTGGCTTTACAAAATAGTTATGCTGCTTTATTCATCTTACGTTGTGTACAAAGTTGTGGAAGTAGTGGTGCTATCGCTTTAGGATTTGGTGTGGTTGCAGATGTATCAACAAGTGCTGAACGTGGTTCATATATGGGAATTGTTGGAGCTGGTACAATGATGGGTCCTGCTATTGGTCCTGTTATTGGTGGTATCTTGGCTCAATTTTTGGGTTGGCGAGCTATCTTTTGGTTTCTCGTTATTCTCGCGGCCTTATTCCTCATTCCATTTACTCTTACGGTTCCAGAAACTGGTCGTAATGTTGTTGGTAATGGATCCATTCCACCTCAAGATTGGAATATGACAATTATTGATTGGTGGAAATATCGAAAAGATCAAAAATCGGAAAATGAACTTTCTCGAACGGCAACAGCTGAAAGTAGAAAACTTGCTCAAGCCGATCTTGCAAGTAAACGACAATTACGATGGCCAAATCCTTTAAAGACTGTTTATATTGTCATGGAGAAAGATGTTGCTGTGGTATTATTTTATAATGCTTTACTTTATACAGCATTTTATGATGTCACAGCTTCTCTACCTCAACTTTTCAAAGAAATTTATCATTTCAATGATTTACAAATTGGTTTATGTTATATTCCATTTGGAAGTGGTTGTGCTTTGGCTAGTATCATTAATGGTAAGATGCTAGATCGAAATTATCAAAAAATTGCTCGAAATATTGGATTCAATATCGATCGTAAGAGAGGTGATAACTTGAGACATTTTCCAATTGAAAGAGCTAGATTAGAAATTATTTGGCCTCTTTTAATCATGGGACTTGCTTGTTATTTATCTTATGGTTGGGTTTTGGAAAAGAATGTCAATTTAGCTGCACCACTCACTCTTCAATTTTTCTTAGGACTTTTCATTAATGGTTCTTTTAATATTCTTAGTACACTTGTTGTTGATTTATATCCACAAAGTCCATCTACGGCAACTGCAGCAAATAATTTGGTACGATGTTTACTTGGTGCAGGTGGAACAGGTATTATTACTATTATGATTGATCATATGGGAAGAGGATGGTGTTTTACATTTATTGCTCTTGTATGTATTGTTACGAGTCCAATGTTATGGATTGAATTGAAATGGGGACCGATTTGGAGAGAGGAGAGAATGGTAAGAATGGAGAAAGAAGTTGAGAAGAATAGGGAGGAGGAAGAGGAGAGAAAAGTTGGGGGGGAAGTTAGGGAGGGGAATGAGGAGAAAGTAAGAGGGGGAGATCAAGAGAGGAGGAAGAGGAGAAAGTAAGAGGAGAATGAGGAGAAATCAAGAGGAGAATGAGGAGAAATCAAGAGAGGAGGAAGAGGAGGAAGAGGAGAAAGTAAGAGGGGGGAGATCAAGAGAGGAGGAAGAGGAGAAAGTAAGAGGAGAATGAGGAGAAATCAAGAGAGGAGAATGTCAGAGAGGAAACAAAAATACTAATACTCAAGTAATGTCAAATGAGGGAAAGACGAACGAGAAAGTTTAATATGATCTTACGATATTCAATGGTTCTAGCGTTTGTATTTAGCATTGAATGATTTGATTTTAATACATACCCATTTGAATTTGTACTTGAGATTTATATGAGAAGATTATGAATGGTGTATTGAGAGGAAAGATTGAGCTTGTGGTTTTTGATAGTTTGATAGCTTATCTAGGTAATCAATGATAAGTATTATTTATTTGATTCATGTATGATTATATGATTGTATAGGATGTTCGATTATGTGCGATTTATATAAGACTCTTACTATTGTATCATTCATGTATTATTATATGTCATTCATGTATCATTCATATATCATGTCATATCCCATTCATATCCCATTCATATTCCATTCATATCCTATTCATATTCCATTCATATCGCATTCATATTCTATTCATATCCTATTTATATCCCATTCATATCCCATTTATATCCCATTTATATCCCATTCATATTCTATTCATATCCTATTCATATCCCATTCATATCCCATTCATATTCCATTCATATCCCATTCATATCCCATTCATATATCATTAATTTATCATTCATATCCTATTCATTCCATCAAATTTCTAAACTTACCTCTACACCTTCAGTTCATCCAATACAAAAAACTCCATCCCCCTAGTTCATTGCCTTATATGTAAGTACGTAAATAATATCGGCGTAATCGGATATATTATTTTACCCGGATTTACCGGTTTAACGATCGATCGGATCTCTTCTATCTTTTGGTAAGCACCATGTATATACATATGAGCAATCAATCTTTTCATTTCCCCCATCTTTTTCTTTCTTTTTTGATGATATCAGAATTCCGATACTTTTAAGGATACCTAGTGTTTCTTTTAATTGGAAAGTTTATTATGATTGTTTATTCTTTTGATGGTTCTAGAGTTCTTGAATTCTTAAGTTCTTGATCTTGAATCCTCGAGTGAATTGACTAGTGTTTTACTCATCATATACTTCTTAACTTTTCCATATGTGGAATTATTTATTGAATGAATGAAAGTTAATCAAAGATATTATATATCTTCAATTCATTCTCAATAGTCGAGATATTCTATACCTTCAATTCATTCTCAATTCATTCTCAAATACTCTCGAGATTAATCATATTTATATTTCACCTACTTTCCATCATATTCAAACTCTTTTACAACACAAGCGCTCTTACCATCATTCGTTTTCGAGACACCCAACACAAGCGCTCATCATAATTCCTTCCAACAACTACATTTTTATATTGTCTTTATTTAATAAATTAATATCTCTTTCCCCTACAAATCCAACCTCATCATCTCATTACGAATCAATCGATTCCCACAAAATGATGGAAAAATCCAAACTTCCCGATTCCGATCTCCCCAACTTTCAACAATCAGAATGTGAAAAACCACCCAGTCCACTTACTCATTCACAAGATTCAACTTCTCCTTCTCCCAAAGGTTTAATCACATATGATGATCTCCCATCATGGCATCAAGATAATCCATCAATCTATACCTCCTATCGACCTATCACTCACTCACTCCGAGATTCCCTCGAAACATTCTTCACACTCCATAACGAAACACTTAATATCCATACTCATTCTCTACCCTTTTTAATAAGTCTCCTCCTCACCGGACTTATCTTTTACGTCTTTTCCATTCATTTTCCCACAAGTCCATTGGTGGATCGATTTATTTTTTCTCTTTTTTTTCTCACGACCATGATTTGTATGGGTTTTAGTATGGGATATCATACGTTGATGAATCATTCGAAAGAGATGGCGGAGATTTGGTTAAAGTTGGATTTTGTGGGGATTGTATTGGCGATTTTGGGGGATTTTGTGACGGGCATTTATGTTGCCTTTTATTGTGAGTGGAGGTTTCAAGTGGGATATTGGGTTTATGGTGGGTTTTGTTTTTTTGTTTGTGTTATCATCGTGTTCTTCTACTGTATATCTTCACTCTTCCGAATTCTCTTCCATGTTATTCTTTTATCATACACTTCCCATCTTCCTAATTCTCTTCCGTCTCCTTCTACCGAACGCCTTTTCTCTTCTGAATTCTCTTTCGTCTTCTTCTTTTATCATACACCTTCCCTCTTCTCCATCCCCTCTATTACCGTACACTCCCCCCCCCCTCTTCCATCTTCTTCTCCTTCCCTCCTCCCCTCCTCCTCTCCACCACCACCCCATACCTCCAAAACACCCAAACAAATAACCAAAAAACTCACACCATCTAGATCATAACTCTCACTTCCGCAACCCTCATCCTCCTACTACATCCACACTTTCAAGGTCTCCGTTGGCGTACCTTTCGCGTATGTATTTTTATAGGGACTGGATGTTCGGCTTTCGCACCTATTATTCATGCCATTGTTTATTTTGGTTGGCATCAAGTTGTGAATGGAACTGGTATGCCTTGGTATCTTGGAGAAGGAGGATTTCTTGTTTTGGGAGCAGTGGTTTATAGTGTGAGTTTTTTTTTCTTTCTTTTCCTGTTTTTGTGTCAGGGTTCCTTTATACTTTAAAGTACCTAGGTACCTAGGGATAGAAACTCTACATAGATCTGGTGTCTTACTTTATCGAGTAAAATCATCAACAGACAAATAAAAAAACTAACATCAAAAAAGTTACGTATACCCGAATGTTATTTCCCCGGTAAATTCGATATATTAGGTCATTCACATCAAATTTTCCATCTTCTAGTGGTGGCAGCATCGGTAATGCATTTGGTGGGGTTATTAAAAGCTTATGAATATGAGTATTATTATTCGAGATGTTCGATGAGATAATTTGTGGGGATGGGGAAGTTTTGTGTGGAAATTGGAAAGGGAAGTTGGGATGAGGGGATTTTGGAAGAGGATGTAGTAAAGGTTGAGAATGAGGATGAGGAGGTAATAAGAAATGAAAGGGGTTTTGGTGTTCGGTTTGGAGATATGATGGTATAGCATGGAGGGATTGAGATGTATATCTGGAAAAGTTCATGGTGATTAATTGGATGGTAGAGGGTTGGATGTTGAGAAATTCCTTTGGTGATGATAAAGTAGAATGTGTATGGATGGTTGTTGTATGAATTGCGGATAGATGGTAGATTGGGATAGATATAAAATGAGTAATGATAATGAATATGAGTTATGATTTTGATGGGAAAATGAAATTTGGAGAGATTTTGTCTTGATAGGTGTGATGTCCCCCTTCAAATTATATATTCGGCCTCCACGGCAGTGGCCCCCGGAGGGCTAGCGGAGCGTCACTATCGATTGATGAATAGATTTGGAGAGATTGTTGGTGGGTAGATGGTTTGTGGAATGAATGAAAGAGTTTATTTGGGTAGACATAATGGTAGAACCATTTATAAAACATCTCACCCCTTTTTCTTCAGGCGACGACTAGAATATCCATTCTTCCCGGGATCGCTTCTTAGCTCCCCGCTAACTTCCTACCGGTATTACTTCCTAGATTTTCTTCTCTGCTTGTGTCTTCTTCCTCTTTATTTGAAACTAGGAGTGATAGATGATGGTGATAATTCAATTCCTGTGTGTTATTTTGGTGATGTAACCTTAGAGTGGTGGAGGTTAAGTCTCGTGGCAATTCCTCGGACATCGGTATTTCTTTTCGCCGGCACCTCTAGCTTACTTGAAACTTTAACTTCACATTACCTACATATTATTTCGAAGAAGAGTCAATGATATCAAAGAGGAGAAAATTCATCAAATTTTAACTATCTATGTATCTCTAGTATCAAATTTACCTTTATCGACATTGTTGATTCCGAAAGCGAGTAAATCAAAAGTTACTCTAGCATTTTCCTCTCCTCAAGACTCAATTACCTTCTCTATCTAATATCACATCACATATTACTTCACATCAATTGGAAAGAATGATTATTCAAATTAGAAAAAAGATTTATTCAGCTATTCCATTCTCCCCTTTTCAATTTCCTCTCCATGAATCATTCCTCCATCCTCTATTTGATCCACCCCGATTAGTATTGGGTTCTGCGAAAGAAAAATACGTTAGCAAAAATTCTGATAGATCGATGTTGACCTTCAAGCTGAGATTTGATCTTCAATGTCGCAGTAAATTTGTGGTGTTGTTGTGCGGTCAAAATCTCCAAACAACGGTGCATATAGAATTCTGGCGCATTTGATGTATTTGAATTTCCATTCCAATTGATTGAATTGATTCTAGCAAGAAGGTTTTGATAGATTTGGGGTATCATAATAGAAATTGGGGGTAACTTATAATTAAGTATACGATGCTTGAAGAAGAAAAAAGAAGATCGCAAGGGATCTGAGATTTGTTTTGATATACTGTGTGGAAAGTTTGAAGCGAATTATGTGGTATACACATATGTCTAATAATGAGGTTGACGAGGCTTCACTTTGGTATGTTTACTTGTTTACTACACCGCCTTTATAATGTTTTTGAAATACAACTTTGTGATTAGTTTAAGATATGAAATTGTAGAGCTCTATTAGGGGATTCTTTTAATGGTTTTAGATTCTTTTCATCTCAAGCGAATGTGTAACTGTACTTGATTTTATGATTCTCAATATTTCGATTAGATAGTTCACTAGTTGGTGTGATAACTAGTAGCCTTGGCGAATATTTTTTTCAGGCACATAATTAGCCTTCCCGTCTAATTATTTCTATCATCGCTTAAAGTTTGATTGCGGCTGAGATTAGAGTTATGTTATAAGTGAATTCTCTTGGGGATAGGATTTGGTTTGCTTCACTTTAATTGTTAGGTAGGCAGTAAGATATACCAAAGCAATCAACTTTAGCTTTCATTTTGATCTTTGATAGCGGCTGAATCAAATATCTCACATAACCATGCATACGAGGATGGTTTTTTTTAGCTAAATCAACACACGTAGACTCGTAATGATAACTTGTGATGAGGCTGTTCGAGACTTTCCTCTGTTCCCGATGCAATGAACCAGTCGAGAGTAGGTATGAAGTAGGAGATGAAGAAGGAGATGAAGAAGGAGATAAAGAAGAAGATGAAGAAGGAGATGAAGAAGGAGATGAAGAAAGAGATGAAGAAGGAAATGAAAAAGGAAATAAAGAAAGAGATGAAGAAGGAAATGAAGAAGGAAATGAAGAAGGAAATGAAGAAGGAGATGAAGAAGAAGATGAAAAAGGAAATGAAAAAGGAGATAAAAAAGGAGATAAAGAAGAAAATGAAAAAGGAGATAAAGAAGGAGATAAAGAAGGAGATAAAGAAGGAGATGAAGAAGGGAGATGAAGAAGAGGTTTTGAAAATTTTAATGTCACTTGATATAATTGTTCGAATGTTAAAATAGTAGAATCTTCGAAAACTTCTCAAAGTGGAAAAGGTCAATAGGGACTTAAAAAACTTTGGCTTGTAGTGAGACAATCAAAATAATTGATGCTTTTAGCACTTAAATGATTGAAATGAATTGAATTAATGAATCCAGATTGAATATTTTAAAGCTTTCAAACAATGAAAATTTATATCCAGATTGTATTCTATATTATTCTCTAGGTACAAAAATAGATTCAACACTCTTTATCCATTGACACCCATCTCCCACTCTGTAGCTCCATTGGTACCTATCTTCCTCTCATTTCCATCCAGATTAATAAGTGAAGGTGAACTATGCTCATTATCGCTTGTGCCCTCTTCCTCATCACTTGGCGTACTCATCCTTTGGTATTCCATCCTCGTCATCACTTGGCGTACTCATCTGCCTGGTGTTCCATCCTCGTTATCACTTGGCATACTCATCCCATTGGTGTTCCATCCTCCTCGTCATCGCTTGGTGTACTCATCTTCTTCATCCGCTTGGTGTTCCATCCTCCTCGTCATCGCTTGGTGTACTCATTCCTTGGTGTGCCTGTCTTCTCTCTTGGCATGTGGGTGAAGCCATCTAAAGATTCTTATCTACCCGTTGCCAAACAGAAACGCCCTAGAGCAGGGGTTAGGAAAAGTTTGTTGTTTCAAAGAAAGAAAGGGAAGAAATTTACCATCTGTCGATACAAATATATATTCCATATTATTAGGCAGGAGACTTATGAGGCGCTCCTTCCCCCCGCCCTCCCCCCCGCCTCCTTTCGCCCCCTTTGCCCTGTCACCTCCTTCGCCCTCTTTTGTCCGCTCCTTCGCCCCCCCTTCGGCCTGCAATCTCTTTCGCCCTCCCTCGCCCGCTCCTTCCTCCTGTCCTCCCCCCCCCCGCCTCTTTTCGCTCCATTTGCCCTGTCACCCCTTTCACCTTCCTTCGCCCGCGCTTTCGCCCCCCCGCCTCCCTCCCATATGATTTCGAATAGTATTATCATCCTGCTTGCTATACGGTTCTTGTTGAATGGTCTGATCCCTTGGATTGTAATCTCTGGTTTCGATCTCCGTTAGCAAATTTATTAATATATTTGACTCCGCAGAAGACTGTTTTCTGTCCAGTTTCTTACATGCATTCTCAAACTTTAACACCTCTATTCCATTTCGAATGAACTTCATTTCCATGAAAGCTTCTCGAATTATTCCCTTTGGATCGTATCTAGAATGATACCAGTTGTTGTTGATTTGATTCATAAATCGATTTTCGAATCGCCCCTTCCAGATCCTCCATCGTTTTCGCTCGAACCTGAAGTATCGCATCCAAGTCGCTCAAATCTGAAACGTCGCAGTCGAATATCCGTAATAGTGATTGAATACGTCTTCCGCAGAGAAGCAGACTCCTTCGAATCAAATAAAAATGCTATGGTTGGTGGATGTTGTGACTTGGTGTTGATTATTTGTATTGGGAAGCGTTATTTTTCCCAGTCTTTACCTCAGCCTTACCTCTAGAAAATATCTGAAATAGAAAAATATGTTCTTGTTTGGAGTGAAGTTTCGATTCCCAAATTTTTCATTTTGTAAAATCTCAAAATCTCGAAACCCCAAAATTTTGAGATTCGAAAAATTCCAAGTCCCAAAAACGTCAAAAACATCAAATTCAAAACCACCACTGAAATCACAACAACTTGAGATAAATTAATTCAAATTATACCTATCTATTCTTCATTACTCAATTAATCAACTGGACTAATAATTATTTCGTGGCCCGCTCGACTTTACGAATTAAAGGTCTTCTCAAACTCCCATTTTACCAATTTTCAATTCGGACAACAACAACGACAACACCATCAACGACCACAACAACCTGAAATAATCACCGGGCTTAGAGGTGAAACATACATTGAGTCTTCCTGCATCATTTGGTATATATATCTTTATTTCGCACATCATATTAAGAAAGTTGTCGAGGTTCTAACTCCAAAACAAACAAATTTCAAGGGAAAATCGCTCCGAATAATCAACAAGACCTTTAAAAGCAAATTTTCACAGGAGCAATCATAAATATATTGAATAAGAGTCTGCGACCCAAATTTGAGAAGGATTCGTCCATTGGTTGTGTTGGAATCTGGAATGAGAGAAAAATTTCCGAGAAAAATCTAGTAAATCGAACGAAACGTCAACAATAACGCTTTTGACTAATTTCTTTTTTGCAGACTCGATAAAAATATTAAAGAGACACCTTTCATCCAAGTTTCAAGAGATTCTATCCATTATTGGAGTTGTCATTGAGAAACGGAGAATGTGAGATGGTGGAAATTTGACGAAAATACAACAAAGGAGAGAGAATCTCGACGAAAAAACTATGCGATCGATATATTATACTTGGAATCCATAAACTTATAGATTCTGATCGAATTTCCAAAGTTTCCCAAAAATTCATACGGTGGTTGTGTTGAAATTCGTTTTGGGGGACTTGGACATATGAAAGGGGTTGGAACTTTGCCGAGTTATGAAGGGGAAATTTTTTGACGAGCCATGAAGGGGTCATTCCATAACAACATTCTTTACGTCCATCTACCACGTTAATCGACTTGACCAACAATGAATTAAATAATAAGGGTATAGTGGATAGGTATCTTGGAATGATAAAGCGAAAGCTCTTGGAGACTTGAGAAAAGAATGGCGAGGATTTCGAAGTTGGTGAAGAAAATGAGACGAAAGTATGTATTTTTTTTATACTGTATTGCTGTCCGGTTGATTATTTCTCATTCAATCATGATCATGAAGTAATATTTCTTCTTGACTCAAAGCTCTCATCACGGACTCTAATCAATTGTCCCCTCGGTTACCAGAAGTTCCCTGGTCATTCACAATTTGATGAATCTAGTCTGATTTGGGACAAGTCTTTCAGTTACTGTGAGGCTAATCCCTTTTCGATTAAGGCGTTTCGCATTTCGATAGCTCTAGCTTCTTAGTGCGTTCGCAAATTTGGTGGGCAATCCACTAGACTGTCCGCAGTTATTGAGGTGTGGAGTGGGGCCAATATTAGCTAATCTGCATAATAGGGGTGGTGGGGGCGAGAGCATGCTTAGGAACACAACGGCACATTGAGTATACTGAGATAAACGATAATCGAAGGATATTCAGAATGAAATACAAGCTTGGGTCGGGTTTACAAAGGATTAATGGTATTGATCAAGTGATATTAGAGAGAGGTAGTAAGGCGTTAAGGAAATACAGGCTTGCGGCATACGAACGATGATAACTGCAACCACGCGAGGTTCGGTAATGACTCGATGATCATTGGAAAGAAGAGAGGAAGAGGTTTAAGGGATAATGAGTCGACAGTGAGGAGACTGAGGAAGCAATAGATTGAAGTGGTTATCCAATCATGGAAAGTTAAGGGGTCGATTCGATGTCAAGAGGGACGAGCACTCGTACACCATTACCAGAAGGAATTGGTCGCGTAAGAAGATGGGAAATATACAAGCATGATCTGATTATGGATGGAAAGCTATGTGAAGTACTTTTATGTCTATCCAACTTTCATGTCAATTATAGGAGAGTCATAGTGTCGTGGGGAGTTCGAAAAAAGCACCTCGAATCACTTGAATCCAATGTCAATATTGAATGCAATTGAAGTCAATGAAGTTACCTTTGTCTTTCTTGCACATGTTCACTTCCCGGAAGCCCATCAGTTCATGTTTGCGTCATGTCTGTGTCATACTTGTGTCAATTTTTCTATTGATGTCCTTCTTCGTTTATGAAAACTTCCGTATTTTGAGTGCTAGTCACTTGAGAATAACATCTCTTTTTAACATCAAGGCTACCTATAACTTCAACACAGTCAATTGCATGGTCTAAACTACTCGTAAAGATAGTTATTATCAGTGTTGGCGCCAAAATCTTGACGATTTCAATTCCAAATAATCATTCTCAGGGTTCACCGGGAGTCATCTTCATCCGGAATTTTTGATTTTTTGATTTTATCTAGAAGTATGATATGAAAGGATGAAACCATTAGAAGTGAGAATGGTTCGTTTCTTTATTACTATATATATCAACGTTGAATGTATATCTACTCATCTCAAAATTCTCATGTTGGAAATTCTACAAAGATCATTCCCGGTGAGCCTTGAAAATGTTGAAAATTGGTATTTTCTACTTTGCATTATTGTCTTGATTTCATATAACTCTATATGTCCTTCCTACTACCTATTGTCATTCTACCATGACCTAATTCATCTTTTAGATATCTTGTGTTTTCGTCTCCCTTTCTTTTTTCTTCCGGAATCCGAATCATCTCCTCCAGCCGAAGACCTTTATTACTCTCCATTGATTACTTTGACGGGAAAATACTGGTAACTTACTGATAACATCAAGAAGAATATAAAATATAATACATCCAATACATGTTATGATTACTCTTTGATTTGTAAATGTTTTGATACTATTCAACTTCTTCACTTCTCCTTTCCCCCCTTTCATCAACCACCCCAACTCGCTTACGTATCAAGACATCTAACTGTTGTATCCGGATTGAAATCTCTTCTACACTTCCCTTTTCTAGCCTGCTATCATCTCCACTGTCTTCACAATCTTCACATCCATCACCTCCATCACCTCTACTACCCCCATCACCCCTACATACATTTCAAAAATTCTTAGTCTTTGAATATTTAAGTCAAGCAATGGAATAAGTTTCAATATCAAGTCAAGCAATTAACAACCTAATTGTTACACATGCAAGAAAGAACTTGTCAAAGTTTGAATTGGTCACTCAGCTGTTAATTGGATTGAGGTTACATTAATTCCGGCGTCAACGTGGGTATGTCTAAAAAGATACAAGAGTGCTCATAGCTTTTTTTCTGCTATGTCACTTGAATTCAAAACAATGTTGGAACTTTTATTGATGAAAAGAAAGACTTGATGATTTTACTAGAGAGATCTTCGATCTATTTCACTACGATCTCTAATACATTCCCCACTCTTCATTCACCTCTTATACATTTTCTATCCATCTCCCTATTCATCTTGGCATACAAACACATCCCTTTTTTTCTTTTCCGGAAAAGCAATTGATTTATTACCTCCTCAACTTCCATCATAAATGCCATCACTCAACCTCTCCACTCCCCTATCCATTGTCTATCACACATATCACCCTCATATGTCTCAAAGCTGTCCTTCCAAATAAACCCAGAAACCAAGAAACCCAAATCCTAAAACTTCTCCCAAGACCGGAACTCACAAATGAATCACCATCACTTCATTAACTTGATGTCATTCTGTAAGATTATCAATCATTCGGTATGGGAATGAAAATTTAGTAAGTATATATAAAATTAAATATGAATATAGATAATAATTAAATGGAATTGTAAAAGATTTGAAATGAATTGAATAAATTAAAGAGAGATAACATTTAGGATATCATGGGTAGTGAGTGAGGTGTAACGGGGCACGCATAGCGGAGTAAGTATGGCGGGTTGGTATGGCGGGGTAATTATGACGGGTAGGAGTTTTGAGGTTAATATAAACAGGTAAGACCGGGCTGAATAAATTGCAGGAAAACCGACGGGATGAACACAAAGGAAGTATTCCTTTACTCATAATTTTGCTATAATCTTTCTATTCAACTATCTAATCATCTAAATCATCTAAATCACCAGATTCAACCAAATCTAAAAGTACCAACATAGAATCCATCGTACTCAAATACTCATCCGTCGTTTTCTTGAATTTCTCTTTACTATCCGCCAAACTTTCTTTCAAATCTTGCAGTTGCTTCTTCGTATCAGTCATCTCTTCCAATTGTTCATCTTGTTTTTCTGCTGAAGTTTGAATTCTTTGATGAATCCTTGTTCCCTCCCGTAATTTCTTCATCTCCTTTCGAATATTTGGTGTGAACCAATTTGATTTTATTAAATCTTCTTTAACTAAAGTCCAATATTGTTCTTCATGCTTGTAAGAATTCGCAACACTCACACTAGCAACGAAATGAGAAAATCCTCCACCATGTGATGAATAAGCTTGAGCATACCTGGAACATAAAATTTCCCCAAATGTTCCATGACATGGTTCAATGCAATTAAAAATAACATATTGATGATTTTTATAAATACCACCTTCCGTTGCAAAGATAGCTTCAATCAAATTCATAATGTAATTGGAACTAACATGCTTTCTATGTTGATCCAAACGTTGAAGACTTGATGCAAATCCGACTTCGGAAATGGGACGAGATAATGGTTCATCCCATCGATTTTTGAATTTATCAAATTCAATCCTCTTACGAACAAGGGAAATCCACTCATTTATAACTTTATATTGAGTATTACCCTTGATATATCTTCTCTTTCCATCTGGTTCAGCCTTGTGAGTACCAATAATTTCATCAATCTTTTTGGAAATTCGATATGATGCTTGATCATTAGGGTTACCGAATCCCCTGATGTAAATGTCAGCGATATTCAAAACATGTTCCAATTTTGAGGGTGAGGGGGATACTCCAATTTCGTTGACCAAATAATGGATATAAATGAAAATCCTCTTTTCTTTCTTATGTCCTTCCATCATAGATGCCATATGTACTCTCATAGATATCATTAATGGATCCGAGTAAGCTTTTGGTAAATCTCCTTGTACAAGATGTTTCAACACATCAGGATGAATACATGCCGACATGAAAAGGAGTTCGAGTTTCATTACCTCAAGATTACCATCTTCTCTTCTTTTGTTGACCCATTTATCACAAGGTAAACCTTCTAAATCCAAAGCAGCATCCACCAATTCTCTCAAACCTTTTGAATGTGCTTCGATGAGTCGATCGGAATAAGCATCAAGTATCATTCCAGGATTTTCGGCATACTCTCCACCATCAACATCAACCATTTGTATATTCCCATCTGGTCCTAATTCGTCTATAGCTTCTTTTTCAATGGCGGCAAGTTCGTCTCCAGTTTTTTCAAGTATGGAATTGATTATATTTTTGAATGCTTTTTCGTCGAATTTGTCGACCATCTCTTCAAAGTCATCGTCGAATTTTGAATATTAAAGACGGTATCTAGTTTCCCTCAGTTGCTCTGCCGGTTGAATTTCCGTATCGATATCCATGGGATCGGGAGAATACAAAGGTTCGGATTGTAAAGGAGAAAATCTTACTTTTGAATGCTCCGCAGATGGACCAATTGCCGGTAAAGACCTTGATTGATTCGAGGATGAAATTGGACTCTCCGCGGATTGTCCAAGGGAAGAGGGGTAGGATGTTGGTATCCTTCTCGCAGGTTGTCTAGATGTAGATGGAGATTCCAGATGCCCAGTTTTCGAAGTGAGATCTCTCACAGATTGTTCGATTGGTCCTGAAGATCCTGAGACTAATCGTCTTGTAAATCTGGAAGGGACAGAAAAGCCACCAGATAACCCGACATTACCTTGTTGGGCTGCAGCCAATCTCCTTGAAGATTGGGAAGATTCTGGCAATAATGGTGGAGGCAGTAAAGTATATGCATTACCATTATTCGGACGAGAAGTATTAGCCAGTGAAGGATTACTCACATTTGAATCATTCCCACCTGAAATGGGAGAATTTTCACTTCTTGATGCGGGTGAAAATGATGTAGGCATTGAAGTATACTTTGGATGACTACCACCAGTAATTGGAGAGTTACCTGTATTATTCCCACCCGATATGGAAGAATTCCCACTTCTCGATTTCTTCTCAATCGATCTTGACTTACTTGGTGTATCTTCAAATGCTCTCTTTGGAGTTGATACTGATCTCTCATCTTTTGAATTCCAAATATGCCCCAACTCACCATACTTCTGTTTCCAGTCCTCACCATACAAGGCTTCCCATTTCCCAACCATTTCTCCATACCTATTCTTCATAAATTCTTCATCAAAGTAATAGATTTCATTCTTATCTTTAGAATCTTCCCAAAATTGGACTTCATATAGAAATGATCCATCTTCTCTATTCCATTTATCATGAATCTTCCAAAGTTGGAAGACTGCCTTGCGGTTTTCATCAACTGATGGTTCCTTGGGCTCTTTTGGGTTAAAGATCATAAGATAACTCATGATATAAAAACTATTATTCGGGCTTATTAGGCAACCGATTTTTTGCTCAAAAGAGAGCGGGAGGTAAAATGAGCTCTTGAAAAGATCTTTTACAGTTAAACTACAAGACTTTCGTCAAGTAGCAAGTAACTGTAATAAGAGGTCTTATCAAAAGAGGATGTATGTAGTATACTTTTGAATGATAAATAGAATTTGAAAAAGTTGTTGTCTGGTGAATGTATACTTGAGGTTGTCGGATATTGATTGATTGATTGATTTCATTTACGTCCACGTTCAGTCTAAGACTATATAGGACGGCTAGGCCTCTAGAGGCTCTAGCAGGTAACTTTTTATTCTACAAAGATGGATATATTCGATTTAGGGAAGTGAAAACAAATGTTGGGGACCAGTGCCCACTTATTATACGCATTGCATATAATAAGGGTTGTCGGATATTCAAGATGGGACGATCTACCTGCTACCTCTCCAGCTCAACCTCGCTAACTTAGTAGACTACCTAGTAGTCATGAAAAGAATGTTCACCGCCTAGACAATAAAATATACTCACTGACTGAAGATAGAAAAAGTAAACTGCCTATGATTAGATAGAATACCTTAGCCTTGTATGTTTACCACGTGACTCGCCTCAAACTTTCCGCACAATATATCAAAACAAATCTCAGATCTTTCGCGATCTTCTTTCTTCTTCTTCTTTGAACGACTCGATCTTAATTATAAATTACCCCCAATTTCTATCATAATGCTTCAAATCATGAAGGCCTCCTTGCTGGGATCAAATCAATCAATTGAAATTAAAATCCGAATACATCAAATGCGCCAAAATTCGATATTTGCCGTTGCTTGGAGACTTTGACCTCATATGCCAATGTCGCACACGCAGTTGACTGCAGACATCAATACCTCAACAGCAAGGCGACAATTAACTCATTTCGATACCGCACATCACTGCGATATTCAATTCCCGATCTCAGCTTGAAGGCCAACAACAATTTACTAGAATTTTTGCTAACGTCTTTTCTCTTTCACAGTACCAAATATTTACCAATAGTATCTATTGGTAGAACTAGCATACCTTGGCGCGGAACCCATTGCTTCCTAGAGAGCGTGGGCCCTATAATTATCGACCTTACCCTTTTTTAAACTTTCCTTTCGGTGCAATTCACCAGTCGACGAAAGTCTTCTGGTCTTGCCCGTTGGAACTTTTATAAAAGTTTCATCTCCCTTTTTTAATTCGATTATTATTCCTTTCAAAGCAGATTGCCAGTCGACGAAAGTCTTCTGGTATTGCTTGATTGGAATTTTTTTCGAATTTCTTCACCCCCGCTCTCTTTTGAGCAAAAAGTCGGTCGCTTAACAAGCCCGAATAATAAATACAATGGCATCTAATGCTACCACTCCTGCCGCAGGTCAAACTGCTGGTAATGGAGCACCTGCCGCATCTGCCACACCACCTACCGGACCACCTACTGCACCACCTACCGAGCCTCCTGCCGGACCACCTGCCGAGCCACCTGCCGGACTACCTGCTCCTGCTCCTCCTCCAGCAGTAGAAGTCGATATTGGTATAAATCAACAACCAGTAATCGAACAAACCAGAAAGCGCAAACAGGAAGGTTTCGAAGACACTCGTCCAAAGCGATTAGGAATGCCCAAAGATGATGCTAGTCCAGAAGAGCGTGCTTTGGCTGAGTTCAGGATCATTAAAAGTGATCTTGGGAATTGGTACGTTAGAAATCGAGGACGTGATTACCCAGGTCCAAAGACTCTTGCTGGTAAGATTAATGGAAGCAGATCTGCCATCCTAATTCTCAAGGAAATTGGGAGAGGTGCTACCGAAATGCTTAATGTTAGAGTCAAGTTTGATATGTTCAGTCAAGCACCAAGATTGAGAATATTCGCTGGTGAATATCACTTCTCTTTACATAGTCACAATTTTGCTGCTATGACTGCAACCAATCAAATCTGGAAGCAAAAGGTCCATCTAATTACTGAAGCGAGTGATGAGGCTAAGAATGCCAGCAGGGCAGAAATTGCGAAGATTCTAGCGACAGATTTCCAAAGTCCTTGTCAAAGAGATGTTGATCGATTGATCGAATTCGCCCAACACAATAGAGAACCGCTACTCGAATTCTTTGGATTTAATTTAGGTGGACCATTTTATTGGGATGCGAAACCAGAATCAGCCGTCGATCTCGCAGTAATGGAAGTGTTCATGAGTAAACTCAGCCATGGTAGATTCCACGCAACATTGGTGCGCTCTCTTAACCCCGTCGCTAGAGCCTCTTTTGAATACCATGACGCTCATTGGAAATCTCAAATGGAAGCCAGCATCAGACATGGTACTTATCCTTTCTATAGGAAGGTCATTGGAGATACAGCTGGAGAAGTATTCAAGGACTGGGAGAAGGACCCCAACATCACGCTTATGCATCAAAGATGGATGAGACATCCACATTTCGCAGAAGAATTGAAGAGTTATGCATCCCATGCAGCACGAAGATCTTTCGGTTCACCAAGAGATATGCAAATCGGCTTGAGTCTTGGTGTCATTTTTGAAGGCATGTGGGAGAAATACAACATCAGCCGTTACTTCAGTCCTGAGTTTACACACCAAAGTACAGTCAAGAGCAAAAAAGGACCTTTCATACAATTACACGTAACTGTTGAAAAGGATGAGAACTTTGCCATGCCTGATGTCGCTCCAGGTACTCACATGAAGTTTACCGTTGTACCTCTGCCTATTGATCCAGAAGCACCAAAGGAACCAGTAGCCGATCCTGGATTTATCATGGTTAAGGGTATGAAGCAAAAGAGAAAGGCGATGCCACCTGGTGGTTGGATGCCTGCAACTGAGGTAGTTAAAGCTCGTGTCCTATCAGTCGACACTCAGATGGACTTCGTACTTGGATTTCAAATCGTCAACGCAGACTACCAAAAAGCATTCAGCAACAATGCTAATTTGGAGATTTGTATCGAGATGGATAGAAATACGATCCCCGCCAATCGCATGTTAATGGCTATTGCAAAACTTTGCGGTCCACCCAGGGCAGTAAACGAATTCAGGCAACGAGCGTTTCTCATGGGTCATGGTGTCGAGAATGTAGGTTCCTCTATTTATACTGAATTCAAGGATCAGATGACCAAGCAACAGAGAGGTGCTTTCGACTATTTGTGCAAATCAATGGACATGAACAAGCAACAATTGCGTGCATGGGAGTTGATGTTTTACAGCAACTGTCACACCAGCCTTCTTCAAGGTCCACCAGGAACTGGAAAGACAAAGACTGTTGCTGGTCAAGGTTTAGGACTTGCATTATGTGGAGTGAAGACTCTCATTACTGCTCCTTCGAACACAGCCGCAAGAGAAGTAATGATCAAGCTTCTGGATATGTTGGCCACTATCCGTGAAAAGTTCCCTCAAGTTGATGAATGGTTTGACATTGTTTATCTTCCAACTCGCGGTACCACCATATCCGATTTGAAGGAAGCTGACATTGACTGGGATTCTCTAGCCTATGATATCGTTGTAGAAGGAGAGAGTCAAACTGGTCAAGCCGGTCTTGATAAGAACGCTCTCTGGAAACACGTGGTTAAGTCTTTTGAAGAGGATGCCGAGAACAAAGATGACGCGGGGAAACAACAGGTTGCCAAGCAATGGTTGATTACACTCAAGCAGTTCAAGAACTGTATACCCATCACTTCAAAGGAGAAGAAGAAGTTCTTCTTGAGAGCCGAGAGCAAGACGCAGGAGATCTTTACTTCCTTGACTTCCAAGGTGAAGATTGTGATTTGCACTTGCAATACTGCACATCTCCTTCAAGGATACGGTTACAAGCCACAAGCCTGCCTCACGGATGAAGCTGCATTTGGTGCTGAACCAGAAGTCTTGATTCCAGCCGCACTCTGCGCTTCCAAGAATCAATACTCTGGTGATCACAAGCAATTGCACCCAGTCGTTAAATCTGCCGGTCACAATGAGTTCTCAAACCAGTTGGGTTTGTCGTTGTTTGAGAGATTCTTCAATCACCACAGCGCTCACTTGGTGAGATTCAACATGAATTATCGCATGTGCAAGAGAATCGCAAACTTCCCTGGTATTGCGACGTATGGATTCTTGGCCTCTCATGCTAGCACCATGGTGGAAAGCGACACATTGAAGTATTACAATCAATGGTGGAACTCGGATAATGCTGAACCATACAGAGCTGCGCGTCGTAAGCCTGAATTTGGTGGACCCAAGGACGATAATGCTCAACGCTTGTTCATCAATGTGAGAGATGGTAAATCTGCACCAAGGGAAGGCGGAAAATCCAAGAGAAATTTCGCAAACATCAACGCCGTCTGCGATTTCACCATGAACTTGTTCAGACATGAACCCACTGTTGATGTCACCAAGATTGATCTCGATAAAATCACAGTCTTAATACTATATAAGGAAGAATTGCACGAGATCTCTAGACAACTCATGATGAGATTAAAGGCCGAGTATCCTAAGATTGAAAGATTCCCTCGATTCCGTACCATCGATAGTACGCAAGGTGGTGAGAACGAAGTCGTCTTGCTTGCAGTGACTCCTGCCGATCAGTACAATGGTGGACTTATTGGATTCTTAAGTGAATGGAATCGAATGAACGTCGCCTTGACCCGTGGTAAGAGTGTCATGGTTATTTTCGGAAACTTGGATCTCTGGCGTTCGCAATTGGTTGTCATCACTCAGACTTTGAGGGCTAAGAACTTTGCGCTCATGATTATGGATCTCCTGGATCTTGGTGATGTCATTGATGTCGATGGTGATAATTGGCTTCCAAAGACATTTGCTCAATTGAGGAATGGTCGTCCAGCTTGGACCATGGAAATTGAAAAGACTCGTAAGGAGGATTCGCAATTAACTCCTCTGGCCAAATCGCTCTTATCTATGCACCAGGATCCAGCGGTTAAGACCGGGTATGAGCAGAAACTTCTTGCCGAATTGGTCGCATTGAGAAAGGTAGCAAGCGACTTCGAGAAATTGGAGGAAGCTGGCGTTGAGTATAATTTGCCTTCTTTTGGACCAGCTGAACAGATTGTCGATGGAGTTCAAGAAGAAGTAGATGAAGAAGATAGTGAGGGGATCGCCTTGCGAAACTTGTTCCCGGGAGCTTCGATGAAAGACAAGGCAGAGAAGAAGGATGCTGACGGAGATGAGGCCATGAAGGATGACAATGGAATCTCTTTGATAGATAAAGCCTCAGCTACAATTGCATCTGAAATCTCTAAGGAGGCTACAGATCGTGAAAATGCTGCCAAGGAATCATCTGGGGACGATACTGCAATGTCCACAGATGAAAATATCGACGAGGCGGTGAATGCTATTTTGGAAGACCTTGCTTCGTAATTTGGTAGCTTTGATAGTTTTGGAGTTGGTGGAGTTATTTCTTTCGTAATTAGATATTAATAAATACCTTTTTTTTTCCCTCGATTAATTGTCTTGAATGATACATGAAGTGATGTGTGAGGTTAGAATTGATGACACGATTATCATTGAAGTTTGGTTTGAGATAAAAAATATATATTAGTAATCAATACCAGAATCCTAAGGCACATGTACCCACTCAGACATGGATCATCATGAATGACATAACAGTGACGCCGTGATTCTTGAAAGTATTTCAAAGGGATCGATAAATTGAATAAATCTTTTCTATGTTCCTCACACTTCAGATGATCTGGTAGATGAATCAAAACTCACAACTGTATATAATTAAATATCAGGGTCTCGGATGTGGACAGTACGTCGGATGGGAACAGGACACACTGAGGTTCAACTGAAACGAAGGAACTTTACAAAAGAAGACTCCGAGATCATTCTGGGGGTTTGTATTTTTCCTATCTACTTCATTGCATGTTCAAGATAACTTAAACAGCCCTTGAAGCTCATTATCATTATCAATGAAATTGTATGAATAACTATATTCATTACCGACACTTGTCGTATCCATCTATGTTGTAAATCTTGGATGAAAGAAACCGAATCAGCCTCAAAATTGACAAAATTCGGATTTTCCTCTTCAATTCTATCTATGAACACCAATGGAAGACTTTCCGAAAGTACATAAAAATAAACCTTTCCTTGACCCAACCATTTCATTCCAATTGGTAGTTTATAAATAATTCCGAATCATTCAAGCCGAAACCTAACATTTTTCATCATCCCATCGACTCTCTTGTGATGGATTTTATTTCAGAATCCCCAACCCGTCAGCACATTCGTAGAACCAAGTCTTCTCGAATTTAAATGCAACTTTATTATTAGATACAAACCTGCTATCCCATTTACGCCCGTTCATATTCGGGGTATCGTTCTCTCCTATAATACATATCCACATATCCGTATGTCTATCATGAAACGCCTTTTGGTAATTCATCCACACCATCTAGTAATAAATGAAACTTCAACTCTCTCATCCACACCATAGTAACAAATTCAACCCAAGTCTCCATCTCAGATAATTCAACCCAACTCTTCATCAAACATTCGACCCCAACTCTCCATCAAATAATCAACCCAACTCTTCATCAAACATTCGACCCCAACTCTCCATCAAATAATCAACCCAACTCTTCATCAAACATTATACCCATTACCAGTTCCAACACCATCTAAATCCATAAATTGATCAATATCTGGTATGACAACACTTGGTTGTGAAATTGTTGATTCAGGAAAAATATTATCAGTTGGAGGACCATCTAAACCTCTACCAACTTGATAATTATCTGGAACGGATTTTCCTAATGTTGTTCTTCTATTCTTTTGTCTCTTTCCAGTTCCTCCAATAGTATCACCTCTTCCATTCATCCATAAACTAGCATCACTAGTTTCACCTCTTCCAATACCAAGTTGATAAGCTTCCATACCTCTCAAAACTGGTAATAAAAGTCGAGTTTCATACCAACGTCCTTTAATATCAGCTAATCCTCGACGAGCTGCTGGTTCAAGTAATTGCCATTCATACCAAGTACGTTTCTTAGCATTATCTGCTACTTCATTTCGAAATCTTAAATCAGAAACCATTCGAGGAGGTAAATCTGGTGTTGGCCATTGTGATCGATTATTATAAGGCATTGGCATTTCGACAAATTTGTAAATATCCCCCACAAATGTTACAACAGTCAAAAGTGGATTGGTTTGTACTGTACGTTCAATGAGTTTTTGAATGACGAGAACCACAATTGATTCCCCATCAACACGTAAACGAACTGGTTCACCAACCCAAATCTTTTCGGCTCCGAGAAACATTCCATTGTAATGAATTTCTCCAGGAGATACAATAGCTTTTTCAAGTCTATCAAATAGAGAATAACTTCCATCAATAACTTTTGCGGCCAAGATACTACCATCAACTTGGTAATCACCTCCACCATATTCACCTCGAACAATACGATCCCAAGGTACTTCATCGTAAGGAATGTTGTTGATTGAACTGATTGTCGTTTGAGGTACACTCCATGCAAGCCAAGGTCTAATTGATTCTTGATCCTTGATTTGAGCAGGTGAATGTGAAAGTGGATGTGAAAGTGGTTGAACCAAATATTCCGCTTGAAAATGTTCATATCTTCTCTTTGATACAACTGCGAGACCCCAAGCATGTCCTCTATTAAACCAAACCAATTCTCCTGTACGATAAATGAGTCCAGTATCGGGTGTACTATCGAGTTTTTGTTCTTGTGATCGAATTATTGAAGTTGGTTGAGGTGATGATTTTGATGATCCAGAAGCTACGGATCCAGGAGTTGTAGATCCGGAAGAAATGACTTTTTGAGGTATGCTAACAATTGGCATGCTATCCTTCTTGATTTCCTTCTTTGGAGCTGGTATGCTGACGACCGGAGTTGTTTTGTTTATTTCCTTTTTCAATATTGCGCCATTATCTGCTTCTTCTTGTGATTCATCCTCTCCAAATGGTGAACAAACTTTACATGAACAATTCCTTGGGTCGCCATCTGGATCCGTACTTAACCAAAGTACATGGGGGAAAAAATCTGCCGGACTTCGATATCTCTTCTTTCGACCTTGTGGATGTCCATATAAATATGTATCTTGTCGTTCGTAAACTCCGGCTGTGTGTCGACCCTTTTCCTTTTTCATCTCTGCCTCCAATTTATTCTTATTATATTTGAGGTGTTCCCATAAAACATATCCTTCAGGTAGATCTTTAAGTACGTAATTCCTATCTGCAATGAAGTTAGTGGATGATGATGAAAGTTTGGGAATGCCATATATTACCAGAATGTTCTTTGCCTCCTAAATAATGCATCAACATGCCACCAATCTTTCTTCTCCAATCTATAGCTTTTGGTTCATCATAATCGAGTTTCTTGTAAAAATCAACAATTCCTTCGGCATCTTCTTTATCATTCAATTGAGCTGGTGTTGGTTGATTTAATTCTTTGATTCCTGTCTTTGTAATGACTTCTAATTGACCATCTGATCTACAGATAGTAATAGGATGAAATGGTGCCATGATGGCAATTGTATGTGGTAGAAACAATTAATTGTTGATGATATGATGGTAACCTTGGATCATTGAGATAAAAAGTTGTGGGGTTGAGCTAGGTTCTAGTTTGAGTGAATCTACATTTACCTAGGTAATTATTACTAAGAGGTTACTTATCCAGTGATGGTCGGATTAACTTGTTTCCGACTACCGAAAAAAAATAATTCCCCCTTTATTTTGTTTGCTTCCAAAGTTTCACCACATACGCATTGTGTAAAGACGTTGAATATATCTTCAGATTTTTGATGTAGAACTTTAAGAGTTGTTATTTGAGTGGGTTGTTTCCTAAGCTATGTCTATTCTACCTCAAGAATTTACCCAAGTAAAGTTCCCTTTCATGTATTTTTGTTCTCATAAATTCGAGTATCTTTTTGGGTAACTAGCGGGGATGTTGATTGTGATGTAGACAAGGTGAATGTAGACCTTGTTCTCAAACAAAAGAAAATTAATCTCACAATGTTACTATCAAGATAATATATCTTTCCCATCTAACTTTCACTCTCAACCTTCCATTACTTGGTATGTACCTTTGATCTTATCATCATCTTGGCTCTCTACCACTTCATTTTGCTTCTTATACTACAAGAAAGACCCTCCCTTTGATAATACTTAGTCTCTGATTAACGTTGCGCCTTTAATCAATACTTTTGCCTTTTACCGGAACTTTATCGATCACGGAAAGAGCGCGAATTTTGCCGTCAATTATGGACAATCCAGGAACCCCGCCACAGGGTGATATCCCATCTCGCAGTAAGTATGATCTTTTATGCTTGTTATTCCACAGATCTAATGCATTCCAAGGCATGCATGGATCAAATCACTCTCTTCCCTTGTCATGTTTCCGTGGCGTTTCCCCCACACTCTTCTTCTCATTACCCCTCCTTTAATTCTTGTACGGTACCTCTAGACAAACTTATATCATCATATAGTATCGAACGTATGTATTTATGCATTCTAACATCTACTCCATTCCTATACACTCTCTCATCTGGTCCCCTAATCTTCATTTCCTATCTCCTTTCTCCATCTCGCACTTAGCCCCCTCTCCCACCCGATCGATAGATCCTCCACCCCACACACCCTTCCACACACCCCCTCCACACAACCCAAAAATCTCAAAACATACAAAAAGGTATCAATCAATCCTCCCAAACCAAAACAAATAAAAAAAAGAAACAAATTCCAAACTCAAACTTAAACTCAAAAATGTTAATGCGCATGCATGTATCCTATCCATACCTACACAATCAACGCTCGCTAATTCATCACCTTATAATTTTTTGTAATTCTTTCGAAAAGAATGATTTTTCAACATCTTCTCCCATCAATCCCCTTCTTTCATTCATCTTTCCTATGCTGTGCAATGCAATGCAAAAAAATGCAGAATCCGAACAATGCAAAAATGTAAATGCGTAAATGCTGTGAAAAATGTAAGAAGTTCCGATGTATGTTTTCTTTGCCCATTTATCCGTCCATGTATCCGTCTTTTTCCTTCTCTTTCCTTTTCTTTTTGGTCATTTTCCCCTTTTTCGATCATGCTCCTCGCTTCCCACTCTCCACTCTCCACTCTCCACTCCCCACATTCATCGATACCCCAAACCCATCAAACAACCACATTCACAGTCATCGGTCGTCTAATACTCAATCCCCTCAATTTCTCCTCCACTCTTCTCAACACCTCCGGATCAGGCTCCGGTACCACTTTCCGCGGAATAGCTATCATACACATATCACATCTAACATGCTTACACCTTGTACATTCTTGCATGTTAATTTTTGGATCCGAGGAGGAATGATGAGGGAAAGTTTTATCGCATTTATGACATGCGAATTTTTTATTTATGGAGGATGGTTGATCACCAGGGTAACCATCGGGGTATTTCTTTTTCTTGGATCTATTAGAATGAATTTGTTAGTTTGTGAGTTTTAGGTTAAGGAGGGAATCAATTTTCTTTTCGAGCGAAGCGAGCTATGGGGGTTTGGGGGCTTGCCCCATAAATAATACAATGAAATGAAATGAAATGACGCTCCGCTGGCCCTCCGGGGGCCACTGCCGTGGAGGCAGAATATTTTCCTCGACTACGAGATTGAGATAGAGAAATAAAAGTAAAGGGAGAAAAGAAACTTACGGATTTCGAGGACAATCAGCACAACGAGTATGAGAACAAGTTGTACAAATTTTATTTCCAGCCGTGAAAAGAGTTGAACATTCATGACAAGTTCTTCTAACTCTTTGAGTAGGTTTTTTTCTGATCAAAGGTTGACCACCAACTTTTTGACTTGGTAAAGTCATGATTAATTTCTCAGGTTTTTTCCAATCTCTATCAACTTCGACTTTTGTTGGTCCAGTATTTGCCACTGTAGTTTTTCCTTTATCCTTTTTCTTTAAAGGATATCTAGGACATTTTGTACATCTTGGATGTTCGCAATTGGTACAAATTTTATTGGCACCATATGTTGTATCACATTTATGACAAGTTCTATGAATTCTCATTCGAATAGGTTTTTCGATTCTCCAAACATCTTTTTCTCCCGTAAGAGATTGCCATTCATGAGGTTCGATTTGTAATTGAAAACGTTCAGCTAATTTTCGAGCTCTTTCAGCATTAATTTCTGCTCGAGAAACTTTTGTTGGTTGAGATTGAGGTTGAGATTGAGGTTGGGATTGAGATTTAGATTTTGATTGTTGTTGTTTTGTTGTGTTAGAAGTAGCAGTTTTGGTAGTGGTGTCAATAATTTGTTTCGTTTCGACGACAGTGGGAATGGAGATGGGTATTTCCTTGGATGGTTCTGACTTTGGAGTTGGTGTTTGTATTGGTTTTGATTTGGATGTTTGATCAGTGGATTTGGGGATACTAAAAAATTTATAAATGATTAATAAATATAAACTTCAACAATGATATATATGAAAATATTCATTGCTTACCTTGGTCCTCCTGGTGCAGTTGAAGTTGAAGACTTTCCAACAAATGATAATCTTTTTGATCCATCACTTCTTTTTAAAACTGTCTTCATTCGTCCTAAAACTCGACTTAATCCTTTCTTTTTATCATCATTTGATGTTGTAGGTATTGTAGATATTGCCGGTGCTCTCGCTGCTCCTTGCGCTGAAGAACTCATTGTTGCGGGGTCTTATTTTTAAGATATATTCCGTAATCTGTAATTTGTAGTCCGTAGTCCGTAGTTCGTCTGTAGTCTGTAGTTCGTCGTCTGTACGTAGTCTGTAGTTAATGTCGATCTGTCGAAATTGATTCTTGGATTTATTGAAATTAATTCATCAAGGATTGAACTGATGAAATTGATTGAATCAATATTGAGGAATGTATGTCGAAGAAAATCCCCAGAAACCCCAAAAACCCAACACTCGAAAGTAAAATTCGAAACCCTTAAATATCAAATTCGAGATTCCATCAATCACTTATACTTTTTTCCCTCCTCTCTCATCAAAAGTGGCGTATTAATCTCCTTATAGAATAAAATAAAATCCCCCTTCGATTCTTTGGGTGTGAAGTGTCACTACGATTAAACTTCAATCGATCGTCTGCCTCGTGCGTTTCGGAACCAATGTACCGGTATGCAGGGAAAATATTGGAGACCAAAAAAAATGACGATAATGATATGTTGTGTCTTCCCAAAACTATTATGTAAAAGGAATTGAAAGGTTGTATCGAATGATTAGTGTGGTAATCAATTGTCTTGAATAATTGTATGACAAAAAAGATATATCAGGATGAAATGTTTGAGGTGATGGTTGGTGATAGTTGGTGATAGTTGGTGATAGTTGGTGGTAATAAGTTGTAAGGAGTAAGAATCGTAATAAGTGTATGAGGTGATGTAGTAATGTTGTGTATGTGTATCTTGACTATGTATATTATCAAGACGACTGACCTCTTTTATCAAAAGTTCAGCTGTATGTAGGTAGATATCGGTTGAAGAAAAAGAGGAGAGAAAAGGGAGATGGATGGGATGATTGGAAATTAGCGAGCCAGCGAGGCAGCGTGCCAGATAGACGGGACAAGAGAGAACCAAAAAGTAAAATAATGTGGGGGCTTGATAGTTCCCGAATAATCAAAATGCTTGGTATTTTTGATGGCTTGTCGTTGGTGGAGAATGGTGGAATTGCTTGAATTTTGTTTGGATACCGTGGGTATTGTTAAATGTATGTAATGTATCGATCGAGTTGGTTCCGAATGGATGGGATGGTAAATAAGGTGATGATGAGTAGAATGAATATTAGAAGTAATGAGATGATATATAATGATATGTGATAGATGCGATAGATACAATAGATACGATAGATGCGATAGATGCAATAGATGATAAGATGAGGTAAATGAGTTGAAATTTCGAATGATTTAAAAAGGTTGAAATCAAAACTATGGCGAGGTTGATTTCAAAAATGTGAATGTGACTGTGATTGTAAAAGTAGGTAGTCTAAGTTCTTGAACCTTTCCTTGCTGACATACCCTCCTTGTACAACTCGAAAGAAAAAAAAGGTATTCGAGGGTTCACGAGTGATGTGTGAGTACTCGTATTTCGATTCGGGTGATGGTGGTCTTGAATTTGGATTTGAATGATTTATAACAAAGTTATACAATTAACTACCCTTAAACTCCACTTCTCATAAGATTGTAATTCTGACACGTATCGAAGATTTGAAAGGAGGAGGAGTATTTTGAGTTTTGAGGGAAAAAGAGTTGATAATGTACTTATGATTACTTTAGGTCTGGTTTGAAGTTTTTGTTGATATGCAACAATGAGGTGTAAAGTAAAATCATTCGATCTAGTTATTCGATGAGGATTTTTTCTAACAAAAAAAAAGGGTTCTGTTTTAGAAGAGGGGGGGGGGTTAGGATTGATTTGAAGGATGATTTAGAAGAATAATAATATTTCATTATTCAAGGGTTCCAGGCCAAAAAAGGTTTATGTCCGTAACTATCTATGTACGATTGAACTTATTAGAGGGATAACCTCAAAACATGTTACGTTATACTAGGGTATATTTTCACCATTCGTAGGGTTGGAAAACTTTAATCTATCCCTATTGTCCAATGTCAACTTGAAATATCTCCTCCTTTTCCCTCACCCACTCACCATGTAAGGTAGATTTGAAGGATGTAGAGGAATGACTACAGGAGCTCGAGAGGAGTAACCTCACTATTGGAACCTCTAGATGAATGTGTGGTCAAATTGTACAATTTTGGTATGTCCGTACTCCTCTATGGATCAAAATACTAGGATACTTTTGTTAATTATTCGTAAAATCTGATTTAGTTTCTTAAGAGGTTATTAAGTATCAAACGGAATGGAACATTCGGATTTCTAGGAGTCCTTCGACTTCCCGAATCTTCATTGAATATCAAATCTACAACGGTAAACAGATACCGAATAGAGTCAAATAACCATCAAAAAAGTAAAGAATTAATAAAAATCTATATTCATCACTACCGGTATCTTTAAATCTTTAGATACCTCGGTAGGAGTAGATTTCATATGTTAATGATAGATGATATCTACTATCTAAAGAGTCGAGTTCGGTGATAGGTGATATTCACCAGGGTATTTTAATCAATGAATGATATTTTTGTTATGGGTCAAACTCGGTCGAGACTCGAGAACCATGAAGATCTTTAGATATATATGATGATTGGATAGAATATTCTTGGTTTGTTAATAGCCGTATCTTCCGGTTTTTTTTGATATCTGATCAAATTGACTAAATACATAGTCAGTAGTATAGTTATGATAATCAAGATTAAATACATTCGGTTATTCCCCCCTTCATTGATCGCGAAAATTTTAAGACAAGACAGTCAAAATGTTTAATAATCCAAACTCCCCCAAGGATATCATCAAATTATTCTTCTCAATTTGTATCTGAATTCGTATCTTAACAATCGAATCTCAATTCGTATCTTCAACAATTGAATCACTAATTATAAAATCATCAACGCGTTCGGCAAATCTTAACATCGGAGCACTATTACTCAATTCATGTGAAAGGTAGGGTAACTTTTTGATACCCGTTTTCTACCTATCGACCGCGCGGAACCACCAAGTAGGTAAGTCAAGGATAAATAGGTAGAATGATACTATTCGGAATTTAGTTAAACAATTCTACACCTACTGACCCACGAATTGAATATCCTAGTCAATGGGTGGTGTGGAGTGAAAGGAAGATATGTGATGATTTGGGAAATTGATGATTTACGCGTCGACCATCGACGACAAGGACGGATATCGTTTCAAATTATTTCTTCTTTCATGGACTCCTTGTTTACATACTCACCTCGATACTTCATACTTCGAAAATCGGACAATCATAATATCATGTAACCCAACCCCCCATACCAAAGAAAAAAGAAGAATATATATCACAAACTGACATCACTCAAAGTATAAAAAATGGAATCCCCTCACGATTAGGAGAATCATTTCTACGGATCGATATCCTACCTCCTCCCATCAAGGATTTAAGAATTTACCTGTTCACGGCTTTGCATACGGCACGACCATCCCGTTCATCCCGCCATCCCATCCCATTTTATAAGTTTCAACCCAATAAACGGTAAAAAGCAAGATCCTCTCAAGATCCTCTCAAGACCCTCAACCCTCAAGACCCTCGACCCTCAATACCCTCTCAAAAACCCTTCCTTCTCTTGAAAATCCCTAAAGAATAATCAAATGGAACGAGCGTTGATTTGATCGACCCTAAAACCTCACTCAATCAGATCCATAATCGGATAGTGAAAGGATGTCACACACCCAAAAGTAAATATTATATTACCAGTGTGGCATTGTCCCAAAAATAATCAAAATTATCAATTATGATTTGATACCCAAAAATCAAACCAGTCATCATTTTTCTTTGTCATAATCAACCGGTACTTAAGTTGGCGTCTTTAGTGCCATGCCATGGCATTGGTATTTTTCCCAAGAAATCCAAATGTGTACTCCGGTAATATTTTGGAATGGTCTTGGCTTTTTTTACCCTGCATTTAACCTAGATATGGTTTGATCAATGATTTTGGTGTGGATGAGATGAACGAATGAGGTGAGAGCTTTCGTATTTTACGATACGCATGATTCTATTCGTTACTTGTTCTTTCTTAAACTTTTTGAGTTTACGGAAGTACCGGTAGAGGGAAGTAAAGTTACTCGGTATGGAATAATAATAGACAAGGCATTCTTTGATGTCTACGAAGTAGATAGAATCTCATGTAAAATAACGGTAGATGAAATCTATGATTGCCGAAATATATATCACATGGTATTGAACAAATGATTTTACTTTATTCAATCACGATACAAAAACTAACAAATATACAATGTCATGTCCGCTGTACCTAGTCCTTCTCCTCTTTCTTCAGCATATTAGTATACCTTAGTCTAGCATTACAAGGCATCACAAGCCCCCCTCACCCCCTCAATGTATCTATCAACGTAATCGTACTACACTTCAGCCAGCCAGTCGATCAGCCTAGGTACATACATACATACATACATACACACACATCCATCCATACATACTCCGTGAACATACATCCATCCATCCATGCATTCACAAACTAAAATCATACCATCATCCTCGGCCTCGGCCTCCTAGAGGTAAGTAATCCGGACCCATCCATTCCAAATAAACATTTATATAAATTAACCCCATCTGTACGCCAACACATTTCCAGAAATTCTTGCATCCCAATGCCATGCGGTATGAAGTCGTAGCATTGCAGGAAACGGTATCACAATGGAACATGAGTGCATGAAAATACATTCTATCCGTGTACGGAGCATATACATAAATTAATCCATTACACACACCACACCAAAATCTAAAGAGGGGTTAGATTATAATTGATATCTGAAGAATTGATTGGTTAAAGTACGTTGGGGGGTGTAACGCAAGGTTTGGGGAATCTTCAGTCGTTGGTTAAATCACGATGTGTGAGGTGTGGTGTGGTAGTACGAAGTACGAAGTACTGATGGATTGAGTAATTGACCAAGTACATAAACACAACATGAATCGAAAGGGGTGAAAACACGAGGATGGGGATACGATACGATACGGTTCGATACGATGCATTTACATACGCAGCACATCCATCATAGTAAAAGGAAACCGGCTATTTTTTCCCCGAATGAATGAATGGGAAATCTTCCTATTGTACAGATAGTACAGACTGTACAGTAGTTGATTGTTTGGTTCTGGTGGTTGGTTGCTTGGTTGCTTGGTTGCTTGCTTGCTTGCTTGCTTGCTTGCTTGCTTGCTTGCTTGCTTGCTTTCTTGCCTGCTTCCTCTCTTGCTTTATTGCCTTCTTGCTTTCTGCCTTCTTGATACGGACTAACATCGCACAAACATAGTACTCGCATCACCAAAATCAAGCTTTCAAAATAAGATATTCATGTGGTGAGTTGTAATCGGGTCTGGTAAAACTACGGATTGATGCTTCTCAACTTCCATCCATTGCATTATCAAACGTAGAAGCTTCTGTCATGTATCGATTCTATCGAAGCTCCACTCCGTCTAGGGTGGAATGTAGTTATGGTTATAGTTTCGGACATCATATATAGACAGATAGTATATCCATACGTACATACATACATACATACATACATACAAACGAACATCCATATATACCCGCGGCATATACATGCACGTGAAATCAAAAAGAGAAAACATGAACGAAGATCTTGTATCCAAAGTATCTCCGTCCCCACCCAAAGAAACGGCTTTAGAAATTCGAAGGGTTTAGAAATGTATAATGACGATATATCTATCTATTCATCCTTCA